TGATAAGTGCATATTACGTAAAGAGAGTAGTTGGCTGTTTATTTCGAGCGTATGAACGGGCTAATGATTGGAAATTACTTTTGCGTTCTTGTCCTTAAGATGGGTTGGGAGGTGTTTTGAAGGAGGGTACTGTTTTGTAATAGTAGAAATGTGAAGCCTAATCCCTCATTACGCTGCCGAGCGTTCATCTTTGAAGGAGAGGATTTTATTGTTTACAAAATACCATTTGTAAGTCTTCAAATAAAATTTTTACAAAGAATTTGACGACAGGCGGCTGCTGCTTCTTTTCATTAGTAAAATCATCTCAAGCATTCCTTTTTTTATACCTCCTATCTTGTAGACAAGGCTTAGTATTTTGTAACAAATTTTTGGCAGCAAAAAAAAAAAACAGTATTCAAGATACTGTTTAAAGAAGATGAATGACTACAAAATTCTACTGAAAAAAATTTCAAGGATTAGGAAACAGATTTAAAAGGTGCAAGCGGAAAAGCAGATGATAAGTTAGATCTGTACGTGATGTGGTTTTAATCTATCTAACATGAACGCTCCAAGTTTGCAAAAAAAGAGTGAAATTATCGAAGGTACTGCTTTTCTACTAACTTCAATAAAACTTTAATTTTTTGTCGTAGACTGAAAATTTATGCCGAGGTATGATTACAAACCTATAGCTAAGAATACGCATGGGGGATCCCAGCAAACACGTCGATCCGCTTTAGAGGGAAGCTGCGCCATGCGTTCACCAGCCGGGGTCAAGTGGTAGTCTTTGATAGTGTCCACCTAAAGTATATAAAAGACTAAATGTATACAGAAACGAGCTAACAGTCGATTTATCTACCAAGTCCCTGCTTCGTTGATCCTCACGAACGAGTGCATGACGTCCCAATACTTTGGTTAGAAATGGTGGTTGCAAAGCCAGTAGGTGAATGCATTCCAAAATACTAGAGTATTTAGAGTTAAAAATGGCTTCACACTATTTTAAAAAAATTTCTAGGAAAATCATTCCTAGGACTACTAGATGTTTTTTTTTTTGACCGCACATATTTCTGACCTGCTAATGCTCGGACTAAAAGCAGCCCGAGCAAATTTTCAACTCCAGGGGCGGTAGTAATCTAGCCGAAACGGGGACGCTTGGATGAGAGTTGACTGCGAGTTTGCTCGCTGT